GCAAATGTTTTGCTGCCGAGTGATTTCAACTTAAGACACCTAAAATGGAGGAATGTAGCAAATAATGTTTTGGCAGATATAACCCCAGGAGGCAGTTCAGATGAAAATTCACATACACATGAGCTATTAAATCTTGGCAACAAATTCACCCTAAGCCAGCAAATAGTGGAGCCAACAACACTGGAAAATACACCTGACCTCATCTTCACTAATAATGATGACCTGGTATGAAATATAACTATCAAAGACAATACACTCAGATCACAACATGATAGAATTACAGGGCTCCTGACCAGCAAGATCAGTTATGAAGGTGCCTTCACTAAATACAACTTCAATAACAAAAACATACAGTGGGATTAATTCAGCCATGTCCTAAATGAAACAAGTTGGGAAGATATCCTAAACAACATGGATCTGAATCTTTGTCTATATAGAATTAACTCTGTGGCACTTGAGGTATGCTCATGGCACATTCCTTTAAAAAAAAAAAAAGAAGAGAAGATGTAAATTAGAAAGAGAAATGCTCCCTTTACAGGGGAAGGAGAAGAATCACAGAGCTGCTGAAAGGGACCAGTATATCTGAAATACAAAAGGAGGCACTGGTCAGAGAAATAGCAAATATTGAACTTAAGCTTCTGGAATCATACAGGAGACAAGAAACAAAGGAAGAACTTAAAGCCATAAATGAAATTAAAAAAAAAAAAAAATTATGCCAAACTAGGGCAAAAACCACATCCAGTATTGGACCCATGCTTGGACGAGATGGAACTTACACAGATGATAGCAAAGAAATGAGTGAAATACTGTAGTCCCAACATGTCTTAGTGTTTAGCTAGCCGTTAATCAGACTAAGGGTTGAGGATCTAAATTAATTTTTTATGACCGAGACTCAAAATTTAGTTAATTTGAGTATTTCTGATATTATCCTAACACCACAGGACTTTGAAAAAGTAGTAAATGACATGCCTATGCACTCTGCCCCAGGCCCAAACTCGTGGAACTTTGTGTTCATCAAGAACTACAAGAAACCCCTTTCATGTGGCTTAAATATTCTATGAAGAAAGAGAGCATAGACACAGGGGGTCATCCTACAGTCACTAAAAACAGACATAGCCCCACTCCACAAAGGTCGCAGTAAAGCAATTGCAAAGAATTACAGACCAATAGCAATAATGTCCCTCATCACAAAAATCTTTGAAATACTCATTTGTGCTTAATTATTATCTGTTTACAATAATGTTTACCACTGAATATATCATTGCTTAGTTAATCTTAAGTTAATTTTAAGCCTGCCCATAATGCTCTGCATACAAGGGGCTTTGGCATGTTACACTTAACCACTGTATTTTTTTGTACTTCTATGTATCATGTTCAAATAAATAAAATAAATAAATAAATAAAGGGTTCTCAGAAACAAGATAGCCATCCACTTAGATACCCAGAGCAGCACGGGTTTAGAGCAGGTCGCTCCTGCCTCTCAACTACTGGACAGGGTCTTCGATGCTCTGGAGGACAAGCAAAATGCAGATGTAGCATATACAGACTTTGCAAAAGCCTTTGACAAGTGCAATCATGGTGTAATAGCACACAAAATGCATGCATGATAAAGGAATAACAGGAAAAGTGGATAGATGGATCTATAACTTCCTAACAAATAGAACACAAAGAGTAATAGTAAACAGTAAAGTCAGAGGCAGCTAAAGTGAAAAGCTCTGTTCCACAAGGTACAGAACTCTCTCCCATCCTGTTCCTCATCCTCATATCTGACATATACAGATATGTAAGCCACAGCCCATGTCCTGCTTTGCTGATGATACTTGAATTTGCATAACATTTGTTATTCACTGAAGACACTGTAAATCTCCAAATACATAGTTATCAACCAAATCTTTAAATTGGCCACAGAAAACAATACAGTGGACCCCTGGATTAAGACGTCATTGGAATCAGTAATAATCAGAATAAGTAATGTTTCTGCATCAAAATATTGGCTTGGTGAACGTCACTGAACTCGGTACAAGTCATTTGTGTCGGGGCCTGAGCTGCTCAGTGTGCCATTGTTTACCAGCCAGTGAAGAGGATCCCACGCATTCATACAATACATTTTGTATTATTCCATTCTTTATAGTGCTTGTAACTGCTAAAAAAGCCACCATGGGCCCAAAGAAAGCTTGTAGTGCCAGTCAGCCCTCTGGTAAAGGGCTGAGAGAGAGGGGAGAATGTGCCTTTTTCAGTGATTCTGCAGCAGGAGTCTATAAAGGCTATAGCAGCAGCCAGCAATAAAGTGTAGTACTAACTGTAGCAAGTAAGTTAAGCGATTAATCGATAGAAAAAGGACAGCACAAACCTAACTACTCCAATTTTGTTGGAGTTATATAAGGTGACTGACAACACCGCCGTCTCTAGTCTCTACCGCTGCTGCCGCCTCCACTACCACGATGTACGGCTTGTCTCAGTGGCCCTTATACACCCAACAACAACACAGTAACACTCGTGACATACTTAATGATGTATTTTATTCATTCTAGAGTATATGTCATTTTTCTGTTATTAATATTGTTTATTATGCCATATTAGATGAATTGTGCTAGATAAATAAGCTGTAGAGCTGATATTAGCATCATATTGAAAGACTATCGTGTGTGTCTCAACACAATTCCTAACACACCAGAAACAGACCTCTCTGGAAAACTTTTTTGAGCGACAGGGGTCCAGTGACTCTCAAGCTGGTCCTAGTGGCATTAAAAAACAAAGGAGGGAAGTAACCCATGATAAGGACTTGGTATCTGAAACCTTTATGGAGTGGGATACTCCTTCCAAACAACTGTAAACTCCTCCATCCTCTCCCCTCCTCCCATCTTCCATACATCACCATGTCTTCAATAAAGGTAAGTGTAATGTTATTATTGTTTTATTCTTCATGTATCACTCTTTTCTGTGTAGGTAATTGTATATTTCATGTAGAAATTTTTTTTTAATACTTTTGGGTGTCTGAAACGGATTAATTGGATTTCCATTATTTCTTATGAGGAAAATTAATTTGGATTAAGTCAGATTGTGTATAAAACATGCTCTCTGGAACGGATTAATTACGTTATCTGGGGGTCCACTGTATGTAGTTCAATGAAGACAAATTTTAATAACTACACTATGGAAAACTCGAGGAAATAAAAACTATCGGAATACAAAACAAATTCCAACCATACAATAAAGCAAAAAACTAATGTGAAGGACCTGGGAGTCATAATATCAGAAAATATCACTTTCAAAGATCACAATAATGTATCTACCACATCTGCTAGGAAAATGATAGGATGGATAAAGAGAACCTTCAAAACTAGAGATGCCAAGCTCATGATGATTCACCTCAAACTCCTTGTTCTATCTAGGCTGGAATACTGCTCTACACTAATGGCCCCTTTCAACAGGTAAAATTGCAGACCCTGAGAATATACAGAGAACTTTCACAGCATGTATAAGTACAATAAAGGGAATGGTTGAAGTCCCTTGAGTCATACTCCCAGGAATGCAAGCGAGACAGATAAAACAAACAAGTTCATTTCTTTGCAAGGTTACATTGAGATTATGAAATTACAATAATGGGGTGCAGTGCAAAGAGAGTCACTATCATGCCTAGGCATTATGGGCAAACTTAATTTAATGGCTTACATACTACTTAATACTAAAGGAATTGATCATAGTTTAAGTTATACTTCTTTTTTTTATAGCAGACAGTAATTTTATTCTAATTTCAATAGTTTCATTAATGAATATTGAAATTAAATTATGGGAATATAACATTGTGAGTTGTTGAAAGTAGTTAACAGTATGAGAATGCTACAATTGGGTGTAAGGATGTATTGTTTTGGGTAGGTATTTATACTACAGGTGTAGTATAAAATAATTTATACTACACCTGGAAAATCGTAGAGGGACTAGTCCCAAATCTGCACACAAAAATCACTCCCTACAAAAGCAAAAAAAACTTGGCTGGAGATGTAACACTTTCAATGAAAAGCAGGGGTGCCACAAATACGCTAAGAGACAACACAAAGTGTCAGGGGCCCAATGTTGCTCAGCTGCTTCCCAGCATACATAAAGGGGATTACCAACAGATCCCTGGCTGTCTTCAAGGAGCTGGACAGGCACATAAAGTCAGTACCTGACCAACCGGACTGTGGTTCGTATGCCGGTTTACATGCAGCCAGCACTAACAAGTCTGGTTGATCAGGCCCTGATCCACCACAAGAACTGGTCAAAGACCAGGTCGTGGGTTGTGGAAGTGTTGATCCCCAAAACCCCCCTCCAAGTATACTCCAGGTATGAAATTCCTCCCTGTATATAATATCCAGAGTGGGCATGCAATTTTTAAAACTGCCTGGCCTCACATGGTAAAGAGCACAGTTCAGTGCTATGTAGAAAAAAAAAATTGATCAAGTGTTGTCACGTATACAGGACATCTGGATTACCAAAACTGTTGTCCAGAGGGCTGAGGAAGGGTTGTTGAGGTGGTTCGGACATGTAGAGAGAATGGAGCGAAACAGAATGACTTCAAGAGTGTATCAGTCTGTAGTGGAAGGAAGGCGGGGTAGGGGTCGGCCTAGGAAAGGTTGGAGAGAGGGGGTAAAGGAGGTTTTGTGTGCGAGGGGCTTGGACTTCCAGCAGGTATGCGTGAGCGTGTTTGATAGGAGTGAATGGAGACAAATGGTTTTTAATACTTGACGTGCTGTTGGAGTGTGAGCAAAGTAACATTTATGAAGGGGTTCAGGGAAACCGGCAGGCTGGACTTGAGTCCTGGAGATGGGAAGTACAGTGCCTGCACTCTGAAGGAGGGGTGTTAATGTTGCAGTTTAAAAACTGTAGTGTAAAGCACCCTTCTGGCAAGACAGTGATGGAGTGAATGATGGTGAAAGTTTTTCTTTTTCGGGCCACCCTGCCTTGGTGGGAATCGGCCAGTGTGATAATAAAAAAAAAATAAATAAATAAGAATAACTCACGTGCAAATAAAGGATCCTTTGGTGTTGGTGCAGCCATGAGAACAGCCAGCATTAGCAAGAGAGCACTCATCTATATCCTCACAGGTAGTTCCGTCCACTCCTAGCTGATAGCCAATTTGACACTCACACCTGACAAAGTAATGATACCTGGTAATTATACATGCATACCCAAAAAAAATCACATTGTAATGCATCAAAAAATTTCATACCCAGTATTAATTTTCTCTATAGCCAAATTACACTGTTTTAGGCAAGAGCAGTTTAATACACTATACATCAGATAACAGCCTCTTAATGAATTTTTAAAATTGCAGAATAAAAGTCACAATACATGAAATGAGCCATACACATGAAAAAAAGTTAAAACAATATTCTGTCAGTTGCAACTTGACCAGGATTTACTGAAATGACATACTAACTTTCTTGACATACGTGTGGATTATTTGTGAATTTTTGAAACCGAGTTTTTGAATGCAAACTTGATGAAACAAATATACAAATAGAATATTTTGTCATGTTTACCTGTATGATCCTCTTGTGTTATGGCAATGGCCTTTACAACCACCATTATTGTTGGCACACTCATCAATATCGTGACAAATATGTCCATCTTTCCCAAGTTCCATGCCCAATGAGCAATGGCACTCATATCCTCCCTCTGTATTGACACACTTGTAACTGCAGCCACCATTTTCAAGATCACATTCATTTATATCTATGCAAGTATGCTCATCAGAAGCCAGGGTAAAGCCAGTAGGGCAAAGACAGGTATAATGAGCTTCATGGTTGGCACACTGATGAGAGCACCCACCATTATTCATACCACATTCATCTACATCAAGGCAAGTAAGACCATCTACAGCCATTTTAAGTCCAGATGGACATATGCACTTGTAGGATCCTTCTTTATTGATGCACTTATGAGAACATCCACCATTATTTGATCTACATTCGTTTTCATCTTCACAGTTGTGGCCATCATTTGCCAGTCTGAATCCAGGTGGGCAGCTGCAAGTGTATCGGCCATGAAGGTTGTGGCAGGTATGTGAGCAGCCACCGTTGTCTTTGCCACATTCATTTACATCTGCACATGTTGAATTGTCATCTTCAAGCAAAAGTCCGGGAGGACAAGAACAATGGTAGCTTCCAACTTGATTTACACACTTGTATGAACACCCACCATTGCCACTTAAACATTCATCTACATCAAGGCATCTTGTGACATCTACCAACCTGAATCCAGTGGGACATGAACATTTGAAGGATCCGTCAGTGTTAGTACATTGATGTGAACACCCTCCACGTTCAATATTACATTCATTAATATCATGACATGTAAGGTTATCTTTTCCCAGAAAATAACCTTGAGGGCAAGTGCATCTGTGTCCTCCATTGTCATTAACACATATATGGCTGCATCCCCCATTGTCTTCATCACATTCATCTATGTCAACACACTTCCTCCACACAACATCATTGAAAACATCAAAGTTTGGAATCTCCTCATCAAAATAACTAAAATAATCATCGGGTATCTCAAGCTGCCAGCCATCAGGGCACTCACACTCATAAGTGCCTTGAAGATTGATGCATAAATGACTGCACCCACCATTTTCTTTCAGGCACTCATCTATGTCTTGACATTCAGAATCCAAGGTATTGTTTCCTACTCTCTCAGTGAGTTTCATTCCCTTTGGGCACTGACACTCCATGCCACCTTCAGTATTTACACAATAATGGCTACATCTCCCATTATCCACTAGGCATTCATTAACATCAACACATTCATCATAATTTTCTGATTCCTTATTTCTTTTAGAAGTGAAACCTGAAGGGCATGTGCACTCATATCCACCCTCAAAATTGTGGCACTGGTGAGTACAATTTCCATTATCATCAAGGCATTCATCTATATCAACACAAACATGGAGTTTCTCAAAGGCACTTCCTTCCTTTAGGGGCTGCAAGCCTTCAGGGCAGATGCATTCATAGCCACCCTCAAAATTGGAGCATGTGTGTGTACAGCCACCATTTTTTCCTTGACATTCATCAATATCATGACAGGCATGTTCATCAGAATGGAGAGTTAGCCCAGGTGGGCAGTGACACGTGTATGAGCCATTGTGATTGGTGCAGAAATGAGAGCACCCATTGTCAGCCCCACACTCATCAATATCAATACAGGTGTGGTTATCTAAAGTGAGCTCAAAGCCATCGTGACAGAGGCAGTCATAACTCCCTGGAAGATTGAGACACTCATGTTGGCACTCAGACAACTGTAGGTGACACTCATCTACATCACTGCAATGGAAGTCATCCTCCAACTCATAGCCAGGAAAGCAGGAGCACGAGAATGATCCTTCCTCATTTACACACACCTGTAATCAAAAGAATTGTATAATCAAATCAAATTTGATTTCCAAGAATTAGAGGGTGATGATTAAGCTCTGGGATTACATCAATCAGTACATTCTCAAGAAAGCTCCTTCTTATGAGAAGCATTTTAAAAAGACTAAAACTAGTACTTTTGCATTACTGTATTTTTTTTTTTTTTTTTTTTTTTTTTTTTTTCAACAAGTCGGTCGTCTCCCACCGAGGCAGGGTGACCCAAAAAAAAGAAAGAAAATCCCCAAAAAGAAAATACTTTCATCATCATTCAACACTTTCACCACACTCACACATTATCACTGCTTTTGCAGAGGTGCTCAGAATACAACAGCTTAGAAGCATATACGTATAAAGATACACAACATATCCCTCCAAACTGCCAATATCCCAAACCCCTCCTTTAAAGTGCAGGCATTGTACTTCCCATTTCCAGGACTCAAGTCCGACTATATGAAAATAACCGGTTTCCCTGAATCCCTTCACTAAATATTACCCTGCTCACACTCCAACAGATCGTCAGGTCCCAAGTATCATTCATCTCCATTCACTCCTATCTAACACGCTCATGCACGCTTGCTGGAAGTCCAAGCCCCTCACCCACAAAACCTCCTTTACCCCCTCTTTCCAACCCTTTCGAGGACGACCCCTACCCCTCTTTCCTTCCCCTATAGATTTATATGCTTTCCATGTCATTCTACTTTGATCCATTCTCTCTAAATGACCAAACCACCTCAACAACCCCTCTTCTGCCCTCTGACTAATGCTTTTATTAACTCCACACCTTCTCCTAATTTCCACACTCCGAATTTTCTGCATAATATTTACACCACACATTGCCCTTAGACAGGACATCTCCACTGCCTCCAACCGTCTCCTCGCTGCTGCATTTACCACCCAAGCTTCACATCCATATAAGAGTGTTGGTACTACTATACTTTCATACATTCCCTTCTTTGCCTCCATAGATAACGTTTTTTGACTCCACATATACCTCAACGCACCACTCACCTTTTTTCCCTCATCAATTCTATGATTAACCTCATCCTTCATAAATCCATCCGCCGACACGTCAACTCCTAAGTATCTGAAAACATTCACTTCTTCCATACTCCTCCTCCCCAATTTGATATCCAATTTTTCTTTATCTAAATCATTTGATACCCTCATCACCTTACTCTTTTCTATGTTCACTTTCAACTTTCTACCTTTACACACATTCTCAAACTCATCCACTAACCTTTGCAATTTTTCTTTAGAATCTCCCATAAGCACAGTATCATCAGCAAAAAGTAACTGTGTATGTGTATGTAGTTAATAATAATAGAGTAATGTGTAATTTTAATTATGTGACGATTCAGCATGAACACTAATTTCTATAAGCAGTGTGATTTAGATTACAATGTGGAGGTAGCTATTAAGTTAGCAATGTAAAATACAACTATCATCATAAATGTTTACGATCATTACAGAATAATTACATTAAGTTAGAGAAATGTATTCCGAGTGCTTTTGAAGCTACTGGAAGATACAGTTTCTTTTATCCTTGAGGAAAGTTGCTCCAACTTCTGGGTCCTTTGATTTGCATAAAGTGTTTACTCTGATTGAATCATACACATGGAATAACAGACAGATTTTTTTTCTAGTGCTATGTCTACGTGATCTCCGGGAATTGATTTAGCTCAGGGTTAAATATTGTATGGCTATTTTTATTTTTTATTTTTTTTATTAAAATTTGAGAAACATACAGGGGTAAAAAAAAATACAGATAAGAGACATCCCCAAAGCATTATACTATGCTGCATTAGGGCTGGCTTAAAAAATTAACTTAAGATTAACTAAGCAATGATGAAATCAGTGATAAACATTATGAAACAGATTACTTTTAAAGACAAGTGGTATTACAAAGACGGGTTTCTTGGTTGCTTGCATTGTGTACATTCAGTTATGAAGGATTCTGTTAGGTAGTGTATTAAAAATTATAAAGTTAGTTTGGGGTTTTAGGTTTAACATTTTGTGATTTATTGTGAGAAACATTTAAGATATACAGTTTAAAGGTTCAGTTTATTCAGTATTTTTTTGGTTTTGGGGGGATTTAAGTGATCTTTAGGAGACTTGAATTTATAAACAGGTTAGTGTTTTTTATATTTACAGGTAATGAATTCCAGTTTTAGGGCTTTAAAGTGGCATTGGTTTTTGCATAGTGTGAATGGACTCGAGGAACATAAAAGAGTGATCTGTGCTGTGTTATGGTCATGTGTTCTGTTGAGGTTGGCAAGGAGTGTTGAGGGGAGGGTTTATATGAGTTAATTTGTTCTAGTATGTAATAGGTGCGAAATAAGTATGGAGTTTGTATGGTGAGTAGGGTTAGGTTTTAAATTTATTGGGGAGGTGTGGGTAGTGAGAATTTGTTATATTTAACTGCAGCCTTTTTTTGGGTATTAGGGGGTCGGAGATGGTTAATTGTTGTTGAGCCCATGCACAAATTCGTAGGTGAGATAGGGGTAAAAAAGGGGAATATAGGCCAGGAGGGCTGACTGGGGAACATAGACCGCATCTTTGATAGTATGCACTACAGTCTGGGAAATTTTTAAAAAATTTGTGTATATGTGTATGAATTTGAGTCATTATCAGGTGGATTCCTAAGAATTTTCCCTCTGTTAGTTTTGTGATAGGTGATCCGTTTATCATTATGTTTAAGAAGGACATCTGTAGCTCTGTTACCAAAATTTAATGAAGTAGGTTTTGTCAATGTTTAGTGTAAGTTTGTTAGTCCTCATCCAGGTAGATATTTTCTGTAATTCGGTATTTACAGTATTGGCTAGCGTGACTGGGCTCGGGTGAGAGGAAGAAAGTTGTGTGTCATCTGCAAATAGTGTGGGTTTGAGTAATTGCGAAGCATTTGGAAGGTCATTTATGTATAGGGAAAGAGAAGGGGCCAAGGACACTTCCCTGTGGGACACCAACTGTAATTGGTTGCGCAGAAGAGTTTGCCCCCTTTGCGTACACATATTGGCTTCTGTTTCTGGGTATGACTTGAGGTGTTGGAGGGAGTGCCCTCTTATACCTAGTTTTGACAATTTTAGTGGAGCAAGTCCCTTTGGTCAACTGTATCAAAAGCTTTACGTAAGTCAATGAAGATCCCCAGTTTGGGGCTTCTTTTTTCTCTATTGCAGTGTATATATGTTCTAGCATGTGTTTAATAGATCATTAGTATTTTTATTAGGCCTGAATCCCAAATTTGGGAGGGGTTGAGTATGTTTTGGGAGATAAGGTAGGAGTAGATTCGTTTATGAATTAATTTTTCGAAGATTTTGAGAGAGGGTTTTAAGTTGGATATTGGCCTATAGTTATTCAACTCTGTTTGGTCTCCTCCTTTGTGGATCGGGGTGACCCTTGCTATTTTGAGTACTGTAGGGAAGGTGGAGGATTCAATGGATTTGTTAAAGAGTGTTGCAATGATTGGTGATAGCACTTGTGACACTTTTTTGTATATAAAGGGTGGTAAGGTATTTAAATCTCCTGCCTTGTTTTTTAGTGCGTTGATAATAAGGGAGACTTCGTATGGGTTAGTCGGAGCTAGGAACAGTGTGTTCAGGTAGTTGCCGGTGAGGTAGTCATTTGGTGGGGTATCTGAGCTTGGGATTTTATTGGCAAGGTTTTGTCCTATAGTGGAGAAGAAATCATTGAGTCTGTTTGCTGTTTCTGTTGGTGGGAGTTGGGGTTCATCTGAAGTGCAAAAGCACTTCTTTTTTTTTTAACACTCGGCTGCTTCCCACCAAGGCAGGGGGACCCAAAAAGAAAGAAAAAAAACTTTCATCATCATTCAACACTTTCACCATCACTCATACATAATCACTGTCTTTGCAGAGGCGTTCAGATACGACATTTTAGAAAGTGGTCTATACGTATACATAATATTCACAGTAGTATGTGTGGCTCCTTTGTACATTTAAAAGTTTCCAGTCTTTGAATAGTGAGGGGATGGGTGATGCTGTCTGGAATCTGACTGATTGTAGTAATGGTAGGTTTTTGTTGGGTTATGACTGGTTTTAGATGATTTAGGATGCAGATTCCCAATCGTATAAATACAGCCTCTCCTCACTTAACGACGGAGTTCCATTCCTAAGACCACATCGTTAAACGAATTCGTCATTAAGTGAGGACCATACTATAATGATAAAGGGTTTGTGTCAACCATCTTTGATATTGTTTTAATGTCACCTTTGCACCATTTATAACATTTCTGGTATATTTTTAAATGTTTATTCAGTAGTGTACTGTATATTGAAATAAAAAGAATAGAGGAAATCAGCTCTAAAATACATTATTTAGGTATAAATACTGGTCAGCGAGCCCATCGTAAGCCCAAGGCATTGGTAAACGAGTACGTTGCTAAGTGAGGAGAGGCAGCATATATTTTTTTGTCAACAAACTGGCCATATCTCACTGAGGCAGGGGGACTAACAAGTAGTATACTGTAGGTAGTGTTGGTTGTGGTACATAAATAGTAGTATCTTCTAGATATGAATGCTCACTGTTTTAGGAACTTTCTTAGATATGTCCTGAATTTTTTTTTTTCAACAAGTCGGCCGTCTCCCACCGAGGCAGGGTGACCCAAAAAAGAAAGAAAATCCCCAAAAAGAAAATACTTTCACCACACTCGCACATTATCACTGTTTTTGCAGAGGTGCTCAGAATACAACAGTTTAGAAGCATACACATATAAAGATACACAACATATCCCTCCAAACTGCCAATATGTCCTGAATGTGTTCATTAAATTTAAATTTGCTGTCAAGGTTAATAACAAAGAATTTTCCCCTAATCTTCTCTTTTGATATATTATTCAACTAGATTTAGTTGTATATTTTTAGCTTTATTCCCAAACACTGTACAGTAAATCTTTGGTTTAATAAGCTTAGGATCTGCTGGGTCAGCTGATTTGGAAACAAGACAGTTGGTGGTTAGAGAATTGTCCATTATTGTTATGATCACGCCATCCAGGCTGATACCTTTTCTGGTTCACTACTGGCTATGTTGTTGAGGTCAATCAGATCTGAATCCGAGATGAAGGTGGTATCATCTGTGAATAAAACTGGTGTATGTTGAGATGAGTTGAATAGATCATTGATGTAAAGAAAAAATAAAAGTGGTCCTAGGATGTTCCCTTGTGGCACCTTTATGTTGATAGACTGAGTAAGGAGGTGTCATTAAAGTTACATGCTGGAGTGTCTTTGAGGTGGTACTTCATGTAGGAGTGAACGGCCTTTTTATACCACAATGTTCTAGTTTAAGGTGATGGGTTTCTACTTTAAAGCATTTTTTAGATCAATAAAGAGACCTATTGGATATTCATTTCTTTTAGGAATATGTACAAGGAATCAAGCATTTTTCTACTTACTGCATCATTTGAACTTTTTTACCTGAAACCAGAGTGACAAGAATTAATAATATCATTTTTCACACCTTCCTAAGCAAGGCAGTATTACTATGATTATTACTTTACCTGCTGACATCCACCTTTATTCTCAGCACACTCATTGACATCAATGCATGACACATCATCAGGAGAGATTGTATAGCCTTCTTCACAGTCACAGAAAAATGAACCTTCAAAATTTTCACAGACTTGGTCACAACCTCCATTGTTAGCTGCACATTCATTCAAATCTAGAAAAATCATGTACTGAATGTAAATGGCAGATCCAGAAAATGCAATGATGATTATGTTGCCAAGAATGATTTATTACAGTGTTACATAAAATCCCAGCAATTGAAAAAACAGGATCAGTGAAAGAAAAATCAGTTTTTCAGGAATGACACAATACAAATTTACTTTAAAAAAAAAAAACACACTTTAAACTAAAGCAAAATGTGGGTTTCCCACACAGTGTTCAGCAATGTCAGTATAAAAAAATAATGCATGCATGTGACTGCACCTTCTTTGACTGCAAACCGAGGATAAAGTGTGTAATTGAAATCTTGAAACTTTTACTAACTGATAACCTATGAGCAAAAAAAACTTTCTTGAAGTTTGTTAACACTGGCAAATGCATTTAGCGTTTATATAATGTAATCTTCCAAAAACATATGGCAAAAAATATTCTTTGATAAAAGTAAATCAAATCAAAGAGATAACTCCTAATATGTCATAGAACTCGAAACTGCTGTATAAATACCAAGACACGATGTAAGATCTGGAGAGAGAATGAATCCTTCTGGGCAGATGCAGGTAAAAGATCCATTGATATTCTTGCACTCATGGGAGCACTTCATGCCAGTTAAGCACTCGTCAAAATCTATTGCAGAGCATTTCAATTTTAAAACCCTTTAATATAAAGACTGGATAAATTTCATATTACATAAGAAATAAATTATTTTACATGAAAAGAAAATTAAACCTTTAATGGCACTACACTGTAAGTCAAACGTTTACCATTTGCTGAAACAATATTCATTTACATAAGTTAGAACAGTTCTCCAACAGATGCATTCCAATAGTCTTCTGTTACAGTGAAAGGTGGCCAATAAAGAATCTTCTCTATATACATATTTCAAACTATGTCTTAGGACAAAAAAAAAAAAAACACAAAAATAAGTCATTAATATATTACTGTACTCACCTGAATACCAAGTCCTTCCTGGTATCAATTTTCATTCATTCAGGTTAAATATTCTGTATTTGAGAAAAATTTTCTAGAAGTACTGTCTGTCTCACAAAGTTTTATAGGATTCTATACCAAAAACTTATTCTACCTGGGCACCTTATTTCTTTTATCTTTTGTTCACTAAATTTTTCTTATCTGTGGCTGTAACTAAACTGCTGCTTATTTTTTAGCTAAATAACCAAACAATAACTTACCATGATGACCAAAAATTGTAGATGCATAGACAGATTGGCACCAATTTTAATTATGTAAGTTATCACACTTTTTTTATTTTAACACTCCAACTATTTCCCATCAAGGTAGGGTCACCAAACAAAGAAGAAAACACTTTCACTGTCACTCATTCAATTGCTGTCTTTCCAGAAGGGTGCTAACATTACAGATCAGATGCCCTTCCAAACCATACATCCCCACCCCTCTTTCAGTGTGCAGGCACTGTGCTTCCCACCTCCAGGACTCGAAGTCCAGCTTATCAGGTTTCTTGAATCCCTTCATAAATGTTACCTTGCTCACACTCCAATGGCATGTCAAATCATAAAATCACATACCTCCACTTGCTCCTCTAACACGTTCACACAAGCCTACAGCATGTTGAAGCCCCTAGGACTCCAACCCTCCTTCACCCCCGTCCCTTCACTCCAACCTTTACCCCTCCTTCCCTCCACTCCAGATTTATACGCCCTCCTAGTCATTGTATTTTTCTCCACCTTCTCTAAATGTTCAAAACCACCTGAACTCCTCAAACCTTAGAATGATACTTCTGGTTATCACACTTCTTCACTGATTTTCATCCTTTTCTCAGAAGAGTAATAAAGTATGTACTGTATCCAAAGCTCAGACATCACCTTTCAGCACTTCTTGACTTTTGAATCTACGATAACTGTGACATGCAAAGAGTACATAACTTTTATTCGGCGCATGTACACACTCTCATTTACAGGCTATCTCCCCCAACCAGCAAACCAGGTGACTGAGGGTTGACGATGGGGCCCCGTCGTTCAACCAGTACCCAGGTTCCAGCCAATGAGAAGATGGTTTTGGCAATCGCAGAGGTTATGTGGGTACCACTCTCCTGTCTTCCCTTGTCATTCCCATTCTAGAGCTGGTTGAAGCACGGTCTGCTCTCTAGTGGCTTCTATTCTGCCTTGCTTACCGTGGAGTGCACTAATACCTATCGCTGTACATAGTGTATATAATGTACATACTTCTGTTCTAAATTGGTGAAGGATAATACAAGTCAAAAGTTTTCTGCTGTGTTTATTTTGCTCCCTTTACACCCAGGATAACAGGCCATTTGGACTATGTATATAGGGTATATACATTGAAAATACTCTCAATGTATATACACTGTTTTCTCAATGTATATACACTGTATATACATTGTATATACAATGCATATACACTGTTCTCTCAATGTATATACACTGTTTTCTATTTTACTGATTACAGGATACATAATATTAGTGCATGGATGGACTGCAGCCTCAGTGGCCCTTATGGGTCAAAAGACTTTCTACTTAAGCTAATAACTTTTAATATATATGTTATATTATCATCTTGCCTTCCACACAATGGAGGCAAGATGATAATATAGGAGGAAACACAATGAATGTGTTTCCTCCTAAAAAGAGAGGAAACACATTCATTGTCATTCACTCAATAACCTTCTTGTCACAAGCATGATAAGATGAGATTAATATAAGAATTGTCTGGACTTTTAACCCAGAGAATAAGCTACCAGGATAACCCAATAATTCTGCTGGGTACTGACAGTCTTACTTCCCTTGTGGTCCTTTAATCTTTTTTCCTGGATGTAGCTCACAAAAGTCGACTAACACTCAGGTACCTACTAACTGCTAGGTGAACAGAGGAAGCAGGTGTAAGGAAACATGCCTGATGTTTCACCTGTGCCAAGATCGATCCCCTGTTCCTCAGCGTGTGTGACCTGAGGATGCTATCAACCAAGCGAGTTCAGACTGACCTCCAAATAGCAAAATCCTCACTCCACCTATAGAGTCCAGTTACTGTAGCTGTATGTTTGTCCTGGGATAGAAAATTGCTTTCCAATATAGAAAGTTTAGTCCTAATGTTTCTTAAGTCTCATGGATAAAATGCAGCATGAAGGTTGGCAACAACAAAATCAGTGAACTTTAGTCCTGTCTTGTTTTTACTTTTATATGTGGCCCATGTTCTAGTAACTTCTAATGATTATTTCACATTCACTTAAAACCACAGATTCTACTTGCTTGTTATTAATAGATGTGTGTGTGTACGAGACAGAGAAAGAAGGAAAGGAGAGTGAGAAGAAAGAGGAGAGAAAAGAGAAAGAAGAAAAGAGGAAGGGGGAGAGTTAAGTTATGAATGAATTCAGGTAAACTGATTGGCTGGACTTGAGTCCTGGAGGCATAAATACAGTGCTTGCAATATGAAAGGTAGTTGATCATTTAACCGTGATGCTTGTGCACTTCTGGAAAGACAGCTAATGAATGAGTGTTGGTGAAGGTATTCCACTTTTTGAGTCATGTTATCTTGTTACGAAATGACTATGTTAAAAAATAAGTAAAAACATGGGACTTACCATGACAGGTCTTGTTGTTACTAGAGAGGATGAAACCAGTGGGACAGGAGCAATAAGCTCCACCTTTGGTATTGATACAGATGTCAGAGCAACCAAAGTTGTCCTCTTGGCATTCATCTAGGTCAGTGCAGTCATAAACATCTTCAAGCACATACCCAGGGAAACATGAGCAAGAGTATGACCCTTGGGTATTTATGCATTTCTGCAATAAGATAATCATACTACATAGATTTTAATGCTAATATTTGTCTTATATACAACTGTAATAAAAGCATTTATCTATGGGGAAATTAGTACTGCAGAGGTAAAGTCAAAGTTCAAGTTTCTGCAACATTTTATTATCTGTTGTATTCTCATTGTATCCCCTATATTTTTTGTAATTTCATAATCATTCCCACTTACATATATACATACTTTTTGAGGCAGTCCTCATTCTTTCCTAACCTTCTTACATCATAATGCAGAAAAGTAATAAAAATGTTTTTAAAACTAGTAATCTCAGTGGGTTTATCATCCAGGATAATCTATGAAAGACAGTGTAGAATATGTCCAATGAGGTGTATTGTAGGCCCTTCCCCATGATGCATCTCACAAATCTACTAACTCCAAGGCATTTATGTACTGCTAGGTAATAAGCAGTAGGCGTTAGAAGACATGCTCATATATCTCTTCCCACCCAGGATTCAACCCAAGTCATTTTGGATGTTGGCTGCCCTAATATTCTTGAGTTCTACTACTACTACATTTTTTTTAATTCCTTTTCATTTTACCTACAAAAGGACAACCATTTAGTTAGTTAATACCATAGCTACTAAGCTAAATTCTTCAAATGTATTCAACACCACAAACATGATAAGCAAAATATTAACAATACACTCATTATATCAACATGCTATAAAAGGAAAAATATCAAAAGCCCTTTTATTTAAAATTATTTTTAATGGTACTGTACTTAACTTAATTTTCTTTAAAAATAAATAATTTCAGCATCATTTAATGTACAAGAATTTTAAGAAATCGGCAGTATACTGTATACATAAATTTACAGTTTTTACATGTTTGAAAAGAAGCTATTGGATTCTAAAACTGTATTACATAATGAGGATCACCTGCTCACAGCCACCATTGTCATCAGAACACTCATCATCATCAACACAGGTGTCATTATGAGACATAAGGAAGCCTGCCTCACAGTCACACATGTAGGAGCCTTCAAGGTTCACACAGGTCTGCTCACATCCACCATTGTTGATTTCACACTCATCTATGTCTGACAAAGAGGTAGCAAGTAACAAAATATGTAAATTGCATATGGTAAACTTTTAACTTCTGCTTTTGAGAAATATAAAAACTTGGGAAAAAAAAACGGCTTTCAAAAAAGAAATATTACCATTTCCATTTGAACTAAGATTATCCTAGTTCTGCAATAAATTACAGTATATAATAATAGCAATTAAAGTTTTATAGATTCTGTTACTTGCAAGTGTGAAACTACTAAAGCAAGTGAATGTACATGTGTTAAGTTGTCTTACCAATACATGTCAGTAGGTCAGGTGCCAACATGAAGCCACTAGGGCAGGTGCAAGAAAATGAACCTTTAGTGTTTTTGCAGCCATGGGAACATTTGTGATGCCCTGAGCACTCATTAGTATCTGGAAATGATCAGTGAAATATTTTTTAGTGCAAACAATATAGAAAGATGAGGCTTCAGTGGCAAGTCATGAGCAAGATATAGTGTACGTTTAAATTTTCTAATATCATGAATGTAAATGCATAAGAGGAAATGAACAGTATTATCTTTGACAACCATGGTTGTCATGAGTGTGAGATTAATATCCCAAGAGCTGCCACCTTCCTTTTATTCCTTCCTTTTATTCATCTACCTACTACTTGTAGGTAGATGAATAAAAATAAAGCACGAGGAGCTAGAGAGACGACATAGAAAGGAAAACTGAACTGGACTGAGGTACAAATCTTTAAAGCTTTAGTCAACTACTCTACAATTGTTACTTTATAGACTAATATTACAAAAATTATATAGAAAAAAAAAAAAAATCATAAGTTACAACAATCACACCTCATTTTATTTGGTGCCTTTATATACAACAACCTAGGTAGTAGGTTGGTAGACAGCAACCGCCCAGGGAGGTACTACCATCCTGCAAAGTGAGTGTAAAACGGAAACCAGTAATTGTTTTACATGATGGTAGGATTGCTGGTGTCCATTTTTCTGTCTCATAAACATGCAAGGTTTCAAGTACATCTTGCTACTTCTACTTACACTTAGGTCACACTACACATACATGTACAAGCATATACATATATACACACCCCTCTGGGTTTTCTTCTATTTTCTTTCTAGTTCTTGTTCTTGTTTATTTCCTCTTATCTCCATGGGAAAGTGGAACAGAATTCTTCCTCCGTAAGCCATGCGTGTTGTAAGAGGCGACTAAAATGCCAGAAGCAAGGGGCTAGTAACCTCTTCTCCTGTTTATTATTTTATTATCACACTGGCCGATTCCCACCAAGGCAGGGTGGCCCGAAAAAGAAAAACTTTCACCATCATTCACTCCATCACTGTCTTGCCAGAAGGGTGCTTTACACTACAGTTTTTAAACTGCAACATTAACACCCCTCCTTCAGAGTGCAGGCACTGTACTTCCCATCTCCAGGACTCAAGTCCGGCCTGCCGGACTTGAGTAGTATATATTACTAAATGTAATATTACTAAATGTATATATTACTAAATGTAAAAGGAGAAACTTTCATTTTTCCTCTTGGGCCACCCCACCTCGGTGGGATACGGCCGGTGTGTTGAAAGAAAGAATATACAACAACTAATCTAACATTTAATTTACTAGATCTTATCAGTGTCTGGATAAAAGAAAAACTATTATATGAATAGTATTTTGTTTTCCACTTAAAGCACCAGGTGTTACAGGTGCCAACACGTCTCCACTTGGCCACTTTTGCTTCCATGCCAGATGCATGCCTTAGCTTTTTTCAGATATGGCCCTATAAGTATGACAGATGTATTAACAGATGTAAGTTTGGAAAATCTACACCTCCTAATATACAAACTCTAAATTCTCTGCATAATATTCACAATAACTGTTTGTAAATGTAAATTCTCATGCTTTAATTTCATCACCCTAATTCAACCACACCATAGAATGCAGGCCATTGAACCAATGTAATTTCAAATTAATTTATTTATAAATGATCAATTCTTTATTTGCAATCTGTCTCACTCTACCTATGACTGTAATTACCCCAGCTGTACTGCCTTAAATTACATACAAGGTCTAGATATTAACAGTATGCAAGCCTCATGGAAAGGTTAGGTAAGGTTTGTCAGGAAACAAGACAAGTGTTTCTTGACATGAATCTTAGTCATATGATGACCCGCAGCTGAAGCTTTTGGACATCTGACCAAGGTCTTTCGCTGGCTTACTGGTCAACCCCTTTAAAAATTATGGTTATTATAATAATTTTTTTATATTATTATGAACAGTGTGCCCAAAATGCATTTGCATAATTAGTGGCTCTCTTCTGAGCCTTATATTGTATCAAATTATTGTATCAAATTATATCAGAATACAAGAGGGCCCCACATTTACAGTACCTCTTTTTGGTGTTTCACATTTTTGTTGGCTTTAACTGAGCCATTGTTCTTAAGGTTCAATGCTTTTACCGCTTTTCCACCATGTTTGTACAACAGTTGCATAAGAGAAGGACAACCGGTACCATATTTAAAGGTGAGTATTGTATTTGTGTATTTATTTTACTTTATCTGTTTTTTATGCCTAGCTGTATTGAACACTTAATATAAGATAATATAAACATGTTATCAGGTGTATTGGATGCATTCAGTAATGAAAAAATGCTCTTCTCCACCTGCTGGCTATTTTTGCTTAATGCAAGGGCTCAGGAACCTAAGAGCCATACAAATGGGGCCTGTCTGTAGAATAAAATTCAAAAGATAATCAATTTTAATGTATAACTGCTGTATATTATATTATTTCAGGTCACTTTTTACACTGTATCTTTATATATGCTTCTGAACTGCTGTATCTGGGCACCTCTGCAAAAACAGTGATTATGTGCAAGTGAGGTGAAAGTGTTGAATGATGATGAGAGTATTTTCGTTTTGGGGATTTTCTTTCTTTTTGGGTCACCCTGCCTAGGGGAGTAATGGCCGACTTGTTGAAAAAAAAAAATGCTGCAAGTAATTTGTAGGGTTCATGAGGAAAAAAATTATTTTTAATTAAATATCTCTCTACACTGACTTGTATTGACTCAAAAAAATTGACTAAACAAAAAAAGGTTTAGGCATGGAAATCAAATGAACCTATTTTGAACAAAATCCTATGATTGGTTTTCAATACAAGTGTCTCATGCAAAGTAAAGACAAAATAAACCTGGCCAGAAGAAGAATGACTGAATTTCGGATTTAATTTTATCTTTTTTCTTCCATCAAACTGGCCATATCCCGCCAAAGCAGGGTGACCTAAAAAGAAAAATGAAAGTTTCTCTTTTTAAATTTAATGTATACATGAGAAGTTTTTTTTTTTTTAACCCTTTCACTGTTAGTGCCGTAGTACTATGGCTTACAAGCCAGTGTTGGTGCCGTAGTACTACGCCAAAATTCTAGTGGCTTCAAATCTAGTGGGAGAAAGCTGGTAGGCCTACATGTGAGAGAATGGGTCTGCAGTATAAAAAAAAAATCAGGGAGCCAGTGGTGCATTGTGGGAACCCCATTTCAGTAGTCCTTGTTCAGCATGCCTAGTGGTAAGAAATATCCAACTTCCTGGCAAATCTGGGACTCTTCTCTTCCCAAGTGATAGTTCTAACACAGATGGAAGTGTCAGTGAAGATGAATGTCGTGGTTTTGAGGAGTTTGTGACTGAAAGCAATGCCCAAGATACCAGAAGGAAGGAAGGAAAAAAGGAAGGAAAGAAGGAAGGAAGAGATGAGAGGAAGGAAGAAGTAAGGAAGGTAGGAAGGAAGGACGATCCAGACGACCATCAACCTAGGATAACCCAAAGAAGTCGGACAAAGTGACTTATTTCCATGTGGGTGGTAAGGAAGACAACATGCTTGTTGGGGAAGATGGTGTGGGTAATGGGTGGTGGTAATGCGTCACTGTGACACCAGCCATGCCGCTGTCAGCACATCCACAACAAAGAAAGAACCTCCACACAACAACAACATTTCACAAGCTGTAGCAGTTCTAGGAATGTGTCCAGTGATTATATATGTGTATATAAATTATAGAACAATAGTAATAAACAACTTTTTTATTGCTGATCGGAAAAAAATTTTTTTTTTTTTTGCTTTAAAACACTTACAAAAATATTCTTAAGATTTGGGTAAGAATTTTTTTTTTTTTTTGAATATTTTTCGACACAGAACGAGAGTTAAGTTGCTGTTGGACTAAATTACTTTTTTTGTACATCATTATATGTGGGGGCAGTTCTTATTTTGTTGGTAAACATTTATCAAGAAATGTAGGATTTGTAAAATCTTAGAGAGATATTATAACAGGTTCACTTGATTACTTAATTTTCTTTTTTCAACAATCCGGCCACATCCCACCGAGGCAGGGTGACCTAAAAAGAAACACGAAAGTTTCTCTTTTTAAATTTAGTAATTCATACAGGAGAACTGGTTACTAGCCCCTTGCTCCCGGCATTTTAGTCGCATCTTATGACAAGCATGGTTTACTGAGGAAGAATTTTGTTCCACTTACCCATGGAGATTACTTAACAATATCTCTTCAAATATCACTCTAAACTGCTCTCTCTCTACATTCATAAGAAACACTTAAGAAGAAGAGAGATTTAAAGTGAAGGAATTCCAATGAGCCTATTTTGTACAAAATCATACTGCTCATTGTTTACAAATACAAATGTTTATTTCTCTGTAAAGAGTACAATGTGTGGTTTACACATCATAAAATACTAATTACAAAGAGGGCCACTATCATGCCTAGCATGACTAGGCATTTCAGGCACTAATAATAATTCTAACTATATTGATACAGTTTATGGAGCATATTGATATTAAGCTAGGTAACTGCATTTTTTTTTTTTTAACAAGTTGGTCATCTCCCACCGAGGCAGGGTGACCCAAAAAGAAAGAAAATCCCCAAAAAGAAAATACTTTCATCATCATTCAACACTTTCACCTCACTCATACATAATCACTGTTTTTGCAGAGGTGCCCAGAACACAACAGTTTAGAAGCATATACATATAAAGATACACAACATATCCCTCCAAACTACCAATATCCCAAACCCCTTCTTTAAAGTGCAGGCACTGTACTTCCCATTTCCAGTACTCAAGTCTGGCTACATAAAAATAACCGGTTTCCTTGAATCCCTTCACTAAATATTACCCTGCTCACGCCCCAATAGCTCGTCAGGTCCCAAATACCATACGTCTCCATTCACTCCTATCTAACACACTCACGCATGCTTGCTGGAAGTCCAAGCCCCTCGCCTACAAAACCTCCTTTACCTCCTCCCTCCAACCTTTTCGAGGACGACCCTTACCTCGCCTTCCTTCCCCTACAGATTTATACGCTCTCCATGTCATTCTACTTTGATCCATTTTCTCTAAATGACCAAACCACCTCAACAACCCCTCTTCAGCCGTCTGACTAATACTTTTATTAACACCACACCTTCTCCTAATTTCCACATTCTGAATTCTCTGCATAATATTTACACCACACATTGCCCTTAGAGAGGACATCTCCACCGCCTCCTCGCTGCAGCATTTACAACCCAAGCTTCACACCCATATAAGAGTGTTGCTACCACTATACTTTTATACATTCCCTTCTTTGCCTCCACAGATAATGTTTTTTGTCTCCACATATACCACAATGCACCACTTACCTTTTTTCCTTCATCAATTCTATGGTTAACCTCATCCTTCATACATCCATCCGCTGCCACGTCAACTCCCAAATATCTGAAAACATTCACTTCTTCCATACATCTCCTCTCCAATTTGATATCCAATTTTTCTTTATCTAAATCATTTGATACCCTCATCACCTTACTCTTTTCTATGTTCACTTTCAACTTTCTACCTTTACACACACTCCCAAACTCGTCCACTAATTTTTGCAACTTTTCTTTAGAATCTCCCATAAGCACAGTACCATCAGCAAAAAGTAACTGTCAATTCCCATTTTCTATTTGATTCCCCATAATTTAATCCCACCCCTCTCCCGAACACCCTAGCATTTACTTCTTTTACAACCCCATCTATAAATATATTAAACAACCATGGTGACATGACACATCCCTGCCTAAGACCTACTTTTACCGAGAAGTATTCTCCCTCTCTTCTACACCCTAACCTGAGCCTCACTATCCTCATAAGAACTCTTTACAGCATTTAGTAACTTACTTCCTATTCCATATACGTACTTGCAACATCTGCCACATCACTCCCCTACCCACTCTAACATATGCCTTTTCTAAATCCATAAATGCAATGAAAACTTTCCTACCTTTATCTAAATAATGCTCACATATATGCTTCAATGCAAACACTTGATCTACACATGCCCTACCCACTCTAAAACCTCCTTGCTCATCTGCAATCCTACATTCTGTCTTGCCTCTAATTCTTTCAATAATAACCCTGCCATACACTTTTCCTGGTATACTCAGTAAACTTATTCCTCTATAATTTTTACAATCTCTTTTGTCCCCCTTCCCTTTATATAAAGGAATTATACATGCTCTCTGCAAATCCCTAGGTACCTTCCCCTCTTTCATACATTTATTAAACAAAAATATCAACCACTCCAACCCTATATCTTCCCCTGCTTTTAACATTTCTGTCATGATCCCGTCAGTACCAGTTGCTTTACGCCCTTTCATTCTACGTAATGCATCACACACCTCCCCCACACTCACATCCTGCTCTTCTTCACTCCTAAAAGATGGTATACTTCCCTGGCCAGTGCATGAATTTACCGCCTCCCTTTCTTCGTCGGCATTTCAAAGTTCCTCAAAATATTCCCGTCATCTACCCAATACCTCCATCTCCCCATCTACTAACTCCCCTACTCTGTTTTTAACTGACAAATCCATTCGTTCCCTAGGCTTTCTTAGCTTGTTTATCTCACTCCAAAAGTTTTTCTTATTTTCATCAAAATTTCTTGACAGTGCCTCTCCCACTCTATCATCTGCTCTCCATTTACACTCTCTCACCACTCTCTTCACCTTTCTTTTACTCTCCACATACTCTGCTCTTCTTATAACACTTCTGCTTTGTAAAAACCTCTCATAAGCTACCTTTTTCTCTTTGATCATACCCTTTATTTCATCATTCTACCAATCACTCCTCTTTCCTCCTGCACCCACCCTCCTATAACCACAAACTTCTGCCCCACATTCTAATACTGCATTTTTAAAACTATTCCAACCCTCTTTAACCCCCCCACTACTCATACTTGCACTAGCCCACCTTTCTGCCAATAGCTGCTTATATCTCACCCGAATTTCTTCCTCCCTTAGTTTATACACTTTCACCTCTCTTACTTTTGTTTCCATTTTCCTTCTGTCTCATCTACCTCTTACTTATACCACTGCTACAACTGAATAATTATCTGATATATCAGTTGCCCCTCTATAAACATGTACATCCTGAAGCCATTACTGCATTACAGTTTGTAAACTTAGCAATGAGAATGGTTTTGTCTTGGCATGATACACAGTTTCTATCTCAGGCAAACTTATGACTAGTTTAAGGTTTGTTAGGCAATAGCTTTATTTGAAATTTTATGTTTACAGTCATTTGGGCGAGTGTAAGTGTAAATTGGGGGGATCAGATATCGAGAGTAGGTCTAGTTTGTTTTTTATGTTTGCATGATACAAATAAGAGAATAGGTGGTTTTCATGTAGCTAGCTGATGGTGGGGTATGTCAGGGAGATGAGATGTTTTTTAACGGTAGTTTTGAAAGTGATGGTTGTTTACCTGGAGTTTACCTGGAGAGAGTTCCGGGGGTCAACGCCCCCGCGGCCCGGTCTGAGACCAGGCCTCCTGGTGGATCAGAGCCTGATCAACCAGGCTGTTGCTGCTGGCTGCACGCAAACCAACATACGAGCCACAGCCCGGCTGATCCGGAACTGACTTTAGGTGCTTGTCCAGTGCCAGCTTGAAGACTGCAGTTCCAGAGTTTTCAGGCAGGGAGTTCCAGATTTTAGGCCCTTTAATGTACACTGAATTTTTGTATAGGTTTAGCCAGACACGGGGAACATCATAGAGATTTTTGTGCCTGGTGTTGTGCCTGTGGGTCCTGTCACAACTATCAAGAAAGTGTTAGTTCAGGGTTAATATTGGAATTTATGGTTTTGTAAATGTAGGCTGCACAGTAGTAAGTGTGGATGTTCTGTACAATGAGTAGTACAGTGAAGAGTGGAGAGGGGGGTGTTGCCTAGTACTGGATTGTGTGATAATTCTTACCGCAGCTTTCAGCTGGGTTATATTGGCTTTAGGTGTGTTGCTGCTGTTGATCCCAAAGCACAAATAGCATAGGTGAGGTAGGGATAGATGAATGAATAGTATAGTGTGAGAAGGGCTGATTGTGGCATGTAGTAGTGTATCTTGGAGAGGATCCCAACCATTCTGGATACCTTTTTTATTATGCGTTGGATATGGTCCTGAATTTTAGGGGGATTAGTTCATGCACCATGCACCACGAGTACATTGAGAGAGAACACTAAGTGTCAGGGGCCCAAGACTGTTCAACTGCCTCCCAGCATACGAAAGAGGGATTACCAAGAGACCCTGGCCGTCTTCAAGAAGGCACCGGACAGACACCTAAAGTCAGTACCAGACCAGCCAGGCTGTGGTTCGTACCTCAGTTTGCGTGCGGCCAGCAGTAACAGCCTGGTTGATCAGACCCTGATCCACCACGAGGCCTGGTCTCAGACCGAGCCACAGGGGCGATGAACCCCAAAACCCTCTCCAGGTATACCAGGCATACCAAGTCAAAAAAAAAAAATGGAGACAGATACAGCATGGCTGAATTTATTTTTTCTCTCAAGTCGAAAGTGAACATAGAAAAGAATAAGGTGATGAGAGTATCAAATGATTTAGATAAAGAAAAACTGGATATCAAATTGGAGAGGAGGAGTATGGAAGAAGTGAATGTTTTCAGATATTTGGGAGTTGACGTGTCAACGGATGGATGTATGAAGGATGAGGTTAACCATAGAACTGATGAAGGAAAAAAGGCGAGTGGTGCATTGACGTATATGTGGAGACAAAAAAACATTATCTATGGAGGCAAAGAAGGGAATGTATGAAAGTACAGTGGTACCAACACTCTTACATGGGTGTGAAGCTTGGGTTGTAAATGCTGCAGCGAGGAGGTGGTTGGAGGCGGTGGAGATGTCTTGTCTAAGGGCAATGTGTGGTGTAAATATTATGCAGAGAATTTGGAGTGTGGAAATTAGGAGAAGGTGTAGAGTTAATAAAAGCATTAGTCAGAGGGCTGAAGAGGGGTTGTTGAGGTGGTTTGGTCATTTAGAGAGAATGGACTTTTTTATTATGTACGAGAAAAAATAGGCAAATTTAGTTTTTTTACTTAAATTTGTTATATTAACCCACTTGTTAAGGCATAACTAACTAGCCATATAGCATGTCTTGCACAACAGATATTTTTGCATACATTTTACTGTCATTTTACAGTAATGGATTATCAGAAGGGATATTCTGCATCTCTTCTGTGTACCGGTGACCACGATAAGGAAGATAGTGCAATAGCAATGAAAGTGTTATGAGACTCGTGTGCTGAGTGTTGGAAATGGCTGGCTCAGTAAGGTTACCACATCAACACTGATTATAAAAAAAAAATAATTTTTATGCTCATAGCATTTTGTATATATGGGGTGTGACAGCATTCAACAAATGTTTTTGAATATAAAGAGCTTTTTTGAAATATTTTTGCCTCAACATCTCATTTAATCACGAAAAAAAATTAATATCTAAATTTGTATGAAGTTTGTTCTATTTGATATATCAATTTATAGCAACACAATAATGAGCAAACAAAAATGCTTAAAATACACAGCTATAGAACTGCATTAGTAAGAACAGACTCTACATGTTGAGTAGATATGAATAAATGTAAAAATTATGAAGATTTGAATAATTTTAATTGATAAACAGAGATTCACACACTGTCAGCTCACCAACACAGGAGACCTGATCCGATGACAGCATAAAGCCACTAGGACATGTACAGACAAACGATCCTTCAGTGTTGATACATCCATGTGAACATCCATGGTCCCTGGTACACTCATCCGTATCTGCAAACAGTAGCTTTACAGTAACTTTATAGTGTGTGTAGTATGAACTTCATAAAATGTTACTAGGTATGCTATATCTAAATTGTTCTCTTACCTATCTCTGCAATTTTTTTTTTTTCAACAAACCAGCCATATCCCACAGAGGCAGGGTGGCCCAAAAAGAGAAACAAGTTTCTCTTTGTAACTTTAGTAATGTATAAAGGAGAAGGGGTTACTAGCCCCTTGCTCCCAGCATTTTAGTTGACTTTTACGACAAGCATGGCTTATGGAGGAAGAATTCTGTTTCACTTCCCCAAGGAGATAAGAGGAAATAAACAAGAACAAAAACTATTAAGAAAATAGAAGAAAACCCAGAGAGGGTTGGTATATATATGCTTGTACATGCATGTACAGTGTGATCTAAGTGTAAGTAGAAGTAGCAAGATGTACCTGAAATTTTGCATGTTTATGAGACAGAAAAAAGACACCAGCAATCCTACCTCCTGTAAAACAATTACAGGCTTCCATTTTACACTCACTTGGTAAGACGGTAGTACCTCCCTGGGTGGTTGCTGTCTACCAACCTACTACCTAGGTTCTGTACTTGTTTTTATTATTATTATCACACTGGCCGATTCCCACCAAGGCAGGGTGGCCCAAAAAAGAAAAACTTTCACCATCATTCACTCCATCACTGTCTTGCCAGAAGGGTGCTTTACACTCCAGTTTTTAACTGCAACATTAACACCCCTCCTTCAGAGTGCAGGCACTGTACTTCCCATCTCCAGGACTCAAGTCCGGCCTGCCGGTTTCCCTGAACCCCTTCATAAATGTTACTTTGCTCACACTCCAACAGCACATCAAGTATTAAAAACCATTTGTCTCCATTCACTCCTATCAAACACGCTCACGCATGCCTGCTGGAAGTCCAAGCCCCTCGCACACAAAACCTCCTTTACCCCCTCCCTCCAACCTTTCCTAGGCCGACCCCTACCCCGCCTTCCTTCCACTACAGACTGATACACTCTTGAAGTCACTCTGTTTCGCTCCATTCTCTCTACATGTCTGAACCACCTCAACAACCCTTCTTCAGCCCTCTGGACAACAGTTTTGGTAATCCCGCACCTCCTCCTAACTTACAAACTACGAATTCGCTGCATTATATTCACACCACACATTGCTCTCAGATATGACATCTCCACTGCCTCCAGCCTTCTCCTCGCTGCAACATTCATCACCCATGCTTCACACCCATATAAGAGCGTTGGTAAAACTATACTCTAATACATTCCCCTCTTTGCCTCCAAGGACAAACTTCTTTGTCTCCACAGACTCCTAAGTGCACCACTCACCCTTTTCCCCTCCTCAATTCTATGATTCACCTCATCTTTCATAGACCCATCTGCTGACACGTCCACTCCCTGTTATGGGGCTATAGGACCCAACATGTATTTATAAGTAACAGTTACTCTGGAATACCTAATTATATTGAATTGATGGGGACTCAGTTCTAAATGTCATAAGGGCTGATCAACCTTATGACTGAGAGGCAGCTGGGTCAAGCCTATTTTTCTCAATATAATAGGTTATACTATAGACACATAAACACACAATTTAACCCTTTCAGGGTCCAAGGCCCAAATCTGGAGTCACGCACCAGTGTCCAAGAATTTTCAAAAAAAAAATTTGTTATTTTTTCTTATGAAATCGTAGAGAATCTTTTTGTGAAGGTAATAAAACAAAAAGTACGAAATTTGGTGGAAAATTGACGAAATTATGCTCTCGCGAATTTTGATGTGTCAGCGATATTTACGAATCGGCGATTTTGCCGACTTTGATTCCCATTTTAGGCCAATTACATTATTCCAATCAACCAAATTCTTAGCTATTTCACTAGTATTACTTCTATTCTATCGATTGAGCACAAGAAATCGCCAAGTCAACTGTTTCAACTACAAAATAAAGTGATCGGAAATTGTTAATTTGGCCAATTTAACACAAAGTTCAAAATATTCCAATTTCAAAATAGGGTCCAGAATAAACAATGTAGGTATTCCTGGCACTAAACTAACATTTCCTCTGTTCATTAGTTATGTTTTGAGGCTTTACAAATAAATTCCATTTTGATTTTTTATTCACATAATGAATTTTTATTCACACCAAAAAATAGAAGATTTACTGTTATGCAATACTGTAATAATTGTATAAATATCATCACCATATTTATGAATGTATATTAGACCCACCAGCTGACGTGTATTAGACGTGTGAGGTCGTTTGTTTACTCTTGAATATCGGCAAAAATTTAACATTTCCGCTACTTTGAGCTCAGTTTCAAGCCATTTCCAATGCTAAAACCAATCAAAATCATCTCTATTTCTGTATTATGTCTTCCATTCTATCAAATGAGACCAAGAAATCGCAAATACAACTATAAAAAACATACGAAAAAACACTGCAACGTTGCTGTTTTAATCGAAAAATCATGATTTCATTTTTTTCTCTCATACACAGTGTGCTGCAGGATCTGTTTTATGTGGTGCACACATACCACATAGATGTATTCTCTCATATCTAGGCCCAAATGTACCACTCACAGTTTATCAGAGTGAGCTGAGCTCATGGCGTAGATCTACGGTTTGGACCCTGAACGTAAAGCCGTAGATCTACGGGACGGACCCTGAAAGGGTTAAATAAGTAGTTTATAAAGTTGTATTTCTTTTTGTAAAAGTAAAATTAAGGGTGGTAGAATTGTGGTAACTGGAGAATTGTGCTTGGCAACAGTCTTTTGTTTTGGTGGGAAGAGCTTAGCTAGTCTTTCTCTCTCTCCCTCTCACTGAGGCTCTCTCTGTGGCTGACCTTCAACCTGGCAGGATCTCTGGGTCCTTCTTCTATCTTTTGGGGCATTGTGTGTGCTCCAGGGGGTGAGTTTTTATAATTTAAGTTGTGGCCACCATACCCAGGGTGACTAAAGTGTGTCAAAACACTGGTTAGCTCAGAATTATGTCAAGAAGAGAGAAGGACAAAAGTTGTTGGAAAACACCATGTGGAGAACAGCTATGGAGTGTGTAGATCTTTGTTTTGAAAATGTGAGGCTGTAATTGTATATTCTGTACATATCTATTGAGAATACAGTTATATTTTTATAGTAGTAGTTTACATAACCTGTGAAGAGGGCTGGTGAAAGGATATCAGAGACACTCAGGATGATCAGCCATAGTGTAAGTATTACCCCTAGACAGATAAGGCCATTACGTAAAAAGCTACCCCACACTAGAACATGTAGTGAGAACCTTACTATCAAAGTAATAAGGGACAACCAACGTAACACTCCAAATACATCTGAATACATTCACCTCCTCCATACTCTCTCCCTCCAATCTGATATCCAATCTTTCATCACCTAATCTTTTTGTTATCCTCATAACCTTACTCTTTCCTGTATTCACTTTTAATTTTCTTCTTTTGCACACCCTACCAAATTCATCCACCAATCTCTGCAACTTCTCTTCAGAATCTCCCAAGAGTACCGTGTCATCAGCAAAGAGCAACTGTGACAACTCCCACTTTATGTGTGATTCTTTACCTTTTAACTCCACGCCTCTTGCCAAGACCCTCGCATTTACTTCTCTTACAACCCCATCTATAAATATATTAAACAACCACGGTGACATCACATATCCTTGTCTAAGGCCTACTTTTACTGGGAAATAATTTCCCTCTTTCCTACATACTCTAACTTGAGCCTCACTATCCTCGTAAAAACTCTTCACTGCTTTCAGTAACCTACCTCCTACACCATACACCTGCAACATCTGCCACATTGCCCCCCTATCCACCCTGTCATACGCATTTACCAAATCCATAAATGCCACAAAGACCTCTTTAGCTTTATCTAAATACTGTTCACTTATATGTTTCACTGTAAACACCTGGTCCACACACCCCCTACCTTTCCTAAAGCCTCTTTGTTCATCTGCTATCCTATTCTCCGTCTTACTCTTAATTCTTTCAATAATAACTCTACCATACACTTTACCAGGTATACTCAACAGACTTATCCCCCTATAATTTTTGCACTCTCTTTTGTCCCCTTTGCCTTTATACAAAGGAACTATGCATGCTCTTTGCCAATCCCTAGGTACCTTACCCTCTTCCATACATTTATTAAATAATTGCACCAACCACTCCAAAACTATATCCCCACCTGCTTTTAAAATTTCTATCTTTATCCCATCAATCCCGGCTTCCTTACCCCCTTTCATTTTACCTACTGCCTCAGGAACTTCCCCCACACTCACAACTGGCTCTTCTTCACTCCTACAAGATGTTATTCCTCCTTGCCCTATACATGAAATCACAGCTTCCCTATCTTCATCAACATTTAACAATTCCTCAAAATATTCCCTCCATCTTCCCAATACCTCTAACGAGAATATTTTGAGGAACTTTTAAATGTTGAGGAAGAAAGGGAGGCGGTAATTTCATGCACTGGCCACGGAGGTATACCATCTTTTAGGAGTGAAGAAGAGCAGAATGTAAGTGTGGTGGAGGTACGTGAGGCATTACGTAGAATGAAAGGGGGTAAAGCAGCTGGAACTGATGGTATCATGACAGAAATGTTAAAAGCAGGGGGAGGGATATAGTGTTGGAGTGGTTGGTACTTTTATTTAATAAATGTATGAAAGAGGGGAAGGTACCTAGGGATTGGCGAGAGCATGTATAGTCCCTTTATATAAAGGGAAAGGGGACAAAAGAGAATGTAAAAATTATAGAGGAATAAGTTTACTGAGTATACCAGGAAAAGTATACGGTAGGGTTATAATTGAAAGAATTAGAGGTAAGACAGAATGGAGGATTGCGGATGAGCAAGGAGGCTTCAGAGTGGGTAGGGGATGTGTAGATCAAGTGTTTACATTGAAGCATATATTTTTTTTTTTTTTTTTTCAACAAGTCGGCCGTTTCCCACCGAGGCAGGGTGACCCAAAAAAAAGAAAGAAAATCCCCAAAAAGAAAAATAC